GGTGGTTCAAACCCACCAGCCACTCCTCGGAAGGAAGGTTGGGCAATCCTACTTCCGTAGTGATACTGCCTCGGAAACCCAAAGAGGGGTCGCTATGAGTTGGGGCCGACTCGACGGCACATAACAACAACAACAACAACAAGTGGTGCAGTGGTTAAGGAGTTTGGCTGCTAACCAAAAGGTTGGTGGTTTGAATCCAGCTGCCCTGCAGAGGAAAGATGAAGCATTCTGCTTTGGTAAGGATTGACAGCGTTGGAAACCCCATGGAGCAGTTCTACTCTGTTCTCTGGGGGCACTGTGAGTTGGAATCCACTCAACACAGTGGGTTTGGCTTTTGCTTTTGATCATTCCATTTAATAACATGCTGGAACAACCTGCGAGGTGCTGTTGTGCCGAGGAAGAGACCAAGGCTCAGAGTTGAGAAGGAGTTTTCTCAAGGTTGCATGGTTGGTAGGAGTAGAAGCCAGCCTCTGAACTCGGGTCTGTCTGACTCGGAAAGCTCCCCCATCTCCCCTCCCCAGATCCCCTGAGGCTCAGGAGTCTCTGCTCTTCCCCACAGGTCTCCATCCGGCTGGACGGTGAGAACAGAGCAGTGGAGTACAATTCCGTGGGCGTCATGGAGGATGCCGTCAGGGTGGTCTTCCGTGGGCCCCAGGTCGATGACCTCTTCGACCGCAACTGGCATAAGATGGCCCTGAGCATCCAGGGCCAGAATGTGACCCTCTACGTTGACTGTGCACTGGTGCAGACACTGCCCATCGAGGACAGGGAAAACATCGACATCCAGGGCAAGACTGTGATCGGCAAGCGCCTCTATGATAGTGTGCCCATCGATGTGAGTACCAGCGGGCCTTCTCCAGCCCCCGAGACCACCGGGGAGGACCTCAGGAGCTATCCCCCCCACCCCCCGACTCCCACATCTGCCTGCATCATTTCTCAAGGCATCACCTTGGGATGTCTTCAAAGGGAGGGCCCCAGTTCAGAACCTGCCATGTTGAGGCACAAACACACCATCATTCCCTCACAATGCCTGCTTCCTTCCTTTCTCTCCTTGCTCTCTCTCTCTCTCCTTCCCTCCCACTTCCTCCCTCCCTCCTTTCCTTGTTTTCTTTCATTTGTTCATTTAACTATCTGGCCATTTACTGCATATAT